TCCATGCGTCAGAGCCTGTTCTGCCGCTGTCTTTCAGTCTTGTGTAAGTCGGAAGATCGTGTCAGTAGAACTATCTACACGTCATGGTAATATCTTGTGCGTCAACGTGTTCAAGCCCTCCCGGTTCCGACCCCCTCGGCCGCAAGCCGCACCGCCCCCGTGGTGTCCCTTAGTGAAGTTACACGCAAGCAGTAGTTGTAGCAGGTATAAAAAGGGGGGAGGAGTAGGAGGAAAAGGAAGGGGGTGTGGAAGGGTCTTTGAGCAGTTTACATCGGAGTGCGCCCGGGCATCCCCAACCCCCGGGTGTCGCAGTGAGCTCGTGCCTCTCTAAGTTCAGGTACGGGAGAGATAAACATACCATGGGGTCCAGATGTCGACATGTCTGGTGCTTCTCCCTAGTAGTTCTGCGTATCGTGCCTCAGCTGTGAGAAAACAATTACTTCAAGTTATTCAAGCGATTCTACAAGCTTTTGAATCACATAGTACAGTAAGCACACAAGCTCACTGACATGCGCAAATAGGCTTACTGACAGACAAAACTCTCTGCCTCACACACAAGCTTACTACAGACAAACTCACTTGTATAAACAGAAGGCTCACTACAAAGAGGTTCAGGGACACACACAGCTCACTAAAAACAACTCACTGACAGACACATGCTCACTAAATAGAAGCTCACTGACACACACAAGCAGTACCATTTTAACAGAGTTAAGGGCCCCCGGGCAAAGCAATGCACTGGGGCCCTTCCTACACAACAACTCACAGGAATTTTAATTATTGATAGACTGCTGAGTCCATACACACACACAGACTGCTGAGTCCCCCCCCCACAGACTGCTGAGTCCCCCCACACACACACAGACTGCTGAGTCCATACACACACACACAGACTCGGCTGAGTCCACACACACAAAGACTTCTGAGTCCATACACACACAAACACAGACTGCTGAGTCCATACACACACACACACACAGACCACTGAGTCCATACACACACACACACAGACTGCTGAGTCCATACACACACACACACAGACCGCTGAGTCTACACAGGCTGCTGAGTACACACACACACACTGCTGAGTCCATACACACACACACTACTGAGTCCATACACACACAGACAGACTGCTGAGTCCATACACACACAGACTGCTGAGTCCATACACACTCACAGACTGCTGAGTCCATACACACTCACAGACTGCTGAGTAAATACACACTCTCACACACACAGACTGCTGAGTAAATACATGTAACGGATCACCTGGCACCCCGACTGGGTACCTCCGTTGAAGTATGCTCCTAGCGCTTCCTGAGGACTTCAAGCACTGCAGCAGACACCACAACCACTGAACTGGAGAAGCATATGAATGCTCTCAAGCATATGAATGCTGTAAGCAGCTGAACAGGAAAAGCATACAATCAGCTTACACTCCTGGCAATCAGCATACAATCCAATTCCCCCAATAACGAGACGACACTTCGTTTTGAGGTCAAGCAGAACTGACTGGACTGGCACATACAGCATCTTTTATTCACAATCCACAAATATAGTACTGCCCACAGGGTTTTGAAACACAGCCAATCAATCCGTACAATACACACAGACACTCCCACACAAAATCCTCCCCTCTGCCTGTGATATGATTACTGAACACAATGGTTAATCTAATTATCACAAGCAGAGAAATACAGTATTATAAAACACATCACAGGGACCCCAAAACATGCAATAACCCCATAAAGTATATCCTTGGAACCGGGGGATCTGGGTGAACCACATATCCAAAATTCACCCAGATCCGTTCAGTACTTTGGAAGATACAGTTTAATGCAGATTCCACAGAACATATGCAGGCTAAATGAAAAACAATTACTGTATAATGTGTCCCCTGTTGTATAGTCCAAAACCACTGCACAATGTCTCTGTGCACCAAATACCGGCGAGATGGCACCGTGTTGAAAAGTCCAAACAGTGTCTGTGAGTTAAAATGGCCGCCATCCATTGTTCTCACCACGTGCTTCATCCATTGTTCTCGCCATGTGCCTCTGATACATGAAATGGTGGCCACCCAGTAACTCCACAGTATGTCCCCAGATGGTTCTTTAAGGGCCAGCAGCAGCACAACACAAATCCATTTCCCAAATCATGTCTTTAAAGGGTAATACATCCCAGGGGCCATAGTCACATGGCAGGAGGCTGGCAATCAGTCTTCTTTAATGCCCAGTGGCGATGTCGGTTTCACCACAATACACACTTACACACACACACAGACTGCTGAGTAAATACACACTCACACACAGACTGCTGAGTCCATGCACACACACACACACACATACACAGACTGCTAAGTCCATACACACACACACACAGACCGCTGAGTCAACACACACACACACAGATTGCTGAGTACAAACACACACACACACACTGCTGAGTCCATACACACACACTACTGAGTCCATACACACACAGACTGCTGAGTCCATACACACTCACAGACTGCTGAGTCCGTACACACTCACAGACTGCTGAGTCCATACACACTCTCACACACACAGACTGCTGAGTAAATACACACTCACACACAGACTGCTGAGTAAATACACATTCACACACAGACTGCTGAGTCCATGCACACACACACACACACACATACATACACAGACTGCTGAGTCCATACACACACACAGACTGCTGAGTCCATACACACTCACAGACTGCTGAGTCCACACACACACACAGAGAGAGACTGCTGAGTCCATACATACACACACAGACTGCTGAGTCCATACACACACACACACACCAAACTGCTGAGTCCATACACAGACACACTGCTGAGTCCATACACACACACACTGCTGAGTCCATACGCACACACACACTGCTGATTCCATACACACACACAAACTGCTGAGTCCATACACACACAGACTGCTGAGTCCATACACACTCACAGACTGCTGAGTCCACACACACACACACACACACACACACAGACTGCTGAGTCCATACACACACACCAAACTGCTGAGTCCATACACAGACACACTGCTGAGTCCATACACAGACACACTGCTGAGTCCATACACACACACAGACTGCTGAGTCCATACACACTCACAGACTGCTGAGTCCATACACACTCACAGACTGCTGAGTAAATAGACACACACAGACTGCTATGTCCATACACACACATACTCACACACACACCGACTGCCAAGTCCATGCACACACACACACACACACACACAGACTGCCGAGTCCATGCACACACACACAGAGACTGCTGAGTCCATACACACGCACAGACTGCTGAGTAAATACACACACACAGACTGCTGAGTCCATACACACACACAGAGACTGCTGAGTCCATACATACACACAGACTGCTGAGTCCATACACACACAGACACACACACAGACTGCTGAGTCCATACACAAACAGAGACTGCTGAGTCCATACATACACACACACACACACACACACACAGACTGTTGAGTACACACACACACACACACACACACAGCACCTGCTGAGTCCATACACACACACACAAACTGCTGAGTCCACACACACAGACTGCTGAGTTCATACACACACACATACACACAGACTGCTGAGTCCATACACACAGAGACACACACACACAGACTGCTGAGTCCATACATACACACACACACACACACACACACACAGACTGCTGAGTCCACACACACACACACACACACACAAACTGCTGAGTCCACACACACAGACTGCTGAGTCCATACACACACACAAACTGCTGAGTCCACACACACACACACACACACAAGCTGAGTCCACACACACACAAACTGCTGAGTCCATACACACACACACACACATGCTGAGTCCACACACACAGACTGCTGAGTCCACACTCAAAGACTGCTGAGTCCCCCCCACACACACAGACTGCTGAGTCCACACACACAGACACAGACTGCTGAGTCCACACACACAGACTGCTG